ACTGAACTTTTCGCACTTCTTGAACTGTACTTTTTGCACGTTTCGTAGTTTTGTATGTTGTCATTATCTATTTTTAGTAGAATTAGTGAATTAGTATAATTTGTGCCGTAGCAATGTAAAAGTTATAAATACGATGTCTTTTGTCTTCACAATAAAGCAGTTTGGGTAGGACTCAACTAGAGTTCAATACTCTGAATCCAGTATTTCCTTTGTTAATTACCCCCCGATAAATCAAATTCGCATAAAACTAGTAGTTTAATCACGTGATCTTGAATGAGAGCCTCGTGACGTAGTCTAGAGCTCTATTTGGCCCTAATAACTCGGACCAAGTCTTTCCACGCCTTCTTTCGTGCCTACCACTATTAGAGTTCGATAGAGTTTAGTGGTTTTAGAGTGTAGATTTGGATTAGTTTAGAGATCCGCGAGACCATATTTAGAGACTAGGGTTCCAACTAGCCCTTCTCAACGCGCATGGACGTTATTTTGAGTCAAATATGCGATTTTCTAAATAACGCCCATGTACGTTATTACGTGCCTATACGGTATATTCTTCGTATAATATATCTTGCTATAATGTACATCTTGGATTGAATTTGTTTAGTCGGTTCTGGTTTAACTTTATTAGCTTCTAAAATTTTTTTTTTTTGATTTCATTATCGCCGCACGATAAAAATAGAATTTTAAATTTATATCTTTAGGCCAGGCCAACTTAATTTGGTGGTTTACACTACATTCTCTAAAAAGAGGGGAAAGGGTGAGAAAGGAATTATATATTTAAACCTTTTCCCTTCGGAAAATTTTTGTTTCAGCATTGCACTCTTTTGTATTCATTCATTTTATTTCGGAAAATTTCATAATTCCTATCTTTAATTCCGCCTGGCATTATGCATTCTGGCCCAAATTATATACCATACCCTATTATATGTTATCTTTCAGTATCATGTACACGCATGAAACCTATCTCTATGTATATCAAAGTTGGTGTATCAAATTGTTATAAGAATGTAATTCCATACAAATACTATCTTTTATTGAAGTTTAATTAAGAACCTATATTTATGATTAGTAAATATGGGTTTCCTAAAAATGACAATTTTTTAATGCATTCATATCTTAGAAAGCGCTTGAGAACTCAATTTATAGAAAATTTGCCAACATCTATGTGTTTAGCAATTTTTTGAACCGATAAGCTTTCTAATTTTTTTTCAATTATTTGTCAGTGAAATTGTTTTGAAGGCATCATATTTCTGTATTCAACTAGAGATATACATACGTACATATGTACTAATGTCTATAATCTTTATATTAGTCACCTGATCTTAAATTATATCAATATATCAATTTTATCTTTATTGAGTTTACTATCCTGAAAAATTTATTTCTTTATTTCAGGCACAGTTTGAACCATTTCTATTGCAAAGGTCTCGTATAGATTAATATAGGCTTTTATTAATAATATTATATATAGTAAAAAATTTATTTTTAGCTTGACAACATGGTTATTAATTAATTGGTGCAAATATAAATAGTGAACTTCTATGTATAATACATTTCAGAAATACTGTTAGTCTTATATATTAATAAGTTTAGTTGGCTAAATAATATTACTTATAAACGGGTGCAGCAAATCCAACTTGGTCCTTTTCACGATCAAATATCACCTTAAAAAGCATAAAAAAAAAAAAAATTAAATTAAATTAATAATGAATAAACTAAATTATTAATATGACTAGCAAAATACTTACATAATAATTTTTCAAAAAAACTCCTCCAAGAATCCAAGTCTATTTTGATAAAAAAATATGAGAATTGAAAATCAAATAGAAATTTACATAAAAATAAAATACTCACAGAATCGTCAGTAGAGGCTATTCCGGAATAGCACCAAGAACTTGTAGAACTTACTTTTTCTCTCACAAGATCAAGATCTAATATTAAGAAGTTGAATTAGTTTAAAAATACCAGCCAAAGTTATTGTATTATAATTTCACACAGTCGTAAACTTACAGTTAATCGCAAATGAAACACCATTAATCTTAATTGATACTATTACATTACTATTCAAATTACAAGGAACTTGCCATGTTTTTGAAATGGAATCATATTTTCCTTTCATATTTGTGTGCAAAGTAGTTACTACACTTTTTCCCATAATAAGCAATGCAGTTGCGGTATCTACTATAGCCTGCTGTTTTGTTCTTGAATATGTAGCAATAGCCTTTCCACCATATTCTACTGCGTCAATTCCAATTTTCCAAAAAGATTTTAAAGTTACAGGTGTATATGTTATAGAACCTTTGTATAAAGTAGAATCTATACCACCAAAGACGAATATACCACCATAAGCAGTTTTGTTGCGTGCAGGACGCAATTGTACTGAAAAGATTCGTTTAGAAATTAGACCTTGATTATACATATTTGTAAGAGGAGTTTGAGTGCCTGGATATACTGCAAGTGAATCATATCCTATTTAAATAGTAAAAAAAAAAAAATAAATAGGTAAAAAGATTTTGGTGATAAAAATACATATTAGTTAAATAAATAAAATTCCAAACACACCAAGTCCAAGAATGCCATCAATAACATCACTTTGAAATGCTGCACTTATAGAATATATTATGGCAAATAGTTGAGACGTAATAGACATATATCCAACTTGAAGATTATCCTGATATATAAAATAAAACTTACAATCAATAACTGAATACATATATGTACAAAATAATTGACACATTACCACTTCCATCCAACCATTAGAACTTGAACCGTCAACATAAGTAATGGAAAAATCATCATCATTGTATTGAATGGTAGAACTTTGACTGTAATCATACAACCTTTTATGATTACAGTTATTGCAATCTACGCAAGGAACCTTACAGTTACAAAATGCATATACTTAATTGGGAAAAAAAAGAAAAAAAAAAGCCTAAAAATGAAATTATTTTTTACCCAAAGGTCAGCACTTGCAGTATCTATAGCCACAAGAAATGATTGTAGTGGAGTGCCTAAAGATATTTGACATATCCACTAATTTTAGAAGTTATATAAGAATTAATTAACAGCGATTATTTTAATCATTATAGTATTTAATAGGATTAAGATTACGTACTTCTACATCATTTGAGTAGTTAATGGCACCCAATTCTTGAAGTGTTAAGCCCCTCTTCAATAAACCTTTAGATCTAAGTCTGTGTTTATGTAATGCAGAAGCATAGCATTTTTTAGTGCTAACATTTCGATGAGTCAATTCTAAATGATATAATTGTGATCCATCGTCTGTTGTCGATACATTGTTTGTATTATTTTTGCTATTTTTCTTAGATGACCTTTTTTTATTGCTAGCAAATGACCAGTGTGAAAAAGTTAATAAAAATAAAAAAATATAGAAAATATAAATTAATTTCATTCTGAATAAAGGATGGATAAATTATATATTAATGAACGAATGGATGGGATGGATAGGATGGATAGAATGGATAGATGGATGGATAGGATGGATGAATGGATGGGATGGATGAATTGGTGGGATGGATGGATGGATGAATGAATGGATGGATGAATGGACGAATGAATATATGGATGAAAGTTGTGCAAGAGAAGAAGAAGAAAATAGTTAGAAAGGGATTATATCATAATATCATAATATTCATTCTTTCGAATAGCGAAAAAGAAAAGATGGTGAAGAAGAATATTATAAAGAGGTTATCATTTAATTTCGTTAGAAAATGTCACACGGCATCAGATAATTAATTACAGTATTCTTTATTATTAAATGCAGTTTGTAGAACAAAATCATAAATTTCAGAATACCACTTGCGTTAACATATGACTAGAGGTGCAGTCATAGTGTTGTAATTTGTCATAATTATAATGAGCTGCTGCAAAGTGTAGCTCATTGTCATTATGTCTGCATCTCTAGAACCTCTATATTTGACTAGATAAATGGAAACCATTTTAGGTTCAAAGAACAACTGATCAACCAATCAAAATTTATAATTCGCGTACACACACACTATGTCTCTACTCATAATGATCTTCGAACAATAATCTGTGTTATGTTTCGCAACCATATAAAAATACAGTAGTTTGCATAGGATAATATTGTCCGGAGGATTATAATAGTTGCCTTATTATCGGGACATTTTGATCAGACCATTCTTACTGATCTTGATAAGTTAAAACTAAAATGAAATTTTGACACATATGATACAGTAATATAAAATAACTAAAAATTTTCAAAGTTCTAGATTTTATTATATATTTAGGATTTAAATTGAGTTTTACATAACTGGTTATCAGAATTTAATCTTAGTGTATATTCTACAAATCTATCGTTTTCTAGGCTGTAATAATGAATGTAAAATATGCATGAATTTTTAAATACACCTTTTAATGATATAGAATCTCTGCTGTACAATATTAAGAATTCTAGAGTAAATTAATATTAAACATTACAAGTGGACACTGCAGAAATGCACTCTGCTGCATTTCGAGCAATTAACCAAATACTGGTGAGCCTTATCTAGTGATACGAGCCGGCCCGGAAAATATCGACCGGATATCTTCGGAATGTAGATAATAAGACGAATCTCTTATTAGGGTCAGAAAAAAAAAGATCAAATTGAATCTGAATAACTTTCAATCGATGTTTAAAGAGTGAAAAGGTTGAGTACCTTTCAGAATTATTCAAGATCATTAATAAAGGTCAACCCGATCGGCCGCCCCAAGGCTGGTCAACCCGGGCCGGCCCTGACCCGAGATTTTTTCATCGGCCCATATCACTAGCCTTATCACTATGATGTAGGGATTGGAACCACCCAAAATTTTCTTCACCGTTAGTCCACTATTAACCAAAAATTGCCCTGACTTATGATTAACATAATTCGTCCCGGCACCATGAAATTTTTTTTTTATGCGGTTAAACGGTTCCAGTAGGACCCCGTATAATTCTAATGTAGGTGGTAGGGCAAAAGAGGGTAGATTTTGGGCCAAATTTGTCTAAATTCTGGTCAAATTTAAAATTAAAAATTGATTTTGACCAGAATTTAGACACGTTCGGCCCAAAAAATCTACCCTCTTTTGCCATACCACCTACCTTAGAATTATCCGGGTCCTGTTCCAGTCCCTAATACTAATACGTACTAACAGTTTCACCATGTTAATCTCTGTCATACGTATTATCTTTAGTAGTCTTCGGGCGTCTGTGCCCCGCCAAATCTGGATATATCTTCGAACCAATCAACAATCAATTCCAAAAATGTCCAATTTACAAAGGTATAATAGTCCTTCTAATACTTTTTTTACTAGCTCAATTCACATGCCGGGTAGGGTATTCAGGATTATTATTCGGTATAATTTAACTCATGTAGAATACACATTATGCATTGCATAAATAGGTTATTCACCGGTTCTTATTTTATTTCGACCTATTGCCCGGATTTAGATTCGGATTGATTCAGGATCATTATATTTCTTTCTGATATATATATATATCTTTTACTTTTTTTTTTTTTTTTTTGATAATACGCATAACGAATTTTAAGCTATTTTACGACACATAACGAATTTTTAAGCTATTTTGAGTCACTAACAAATAGTAAAAGTTAGCTGGCTAAGAAAAAGCAAAAGAAAATGAAAAGATTTTTGTGACTGTAGCAAAGCCAAACTTTATAATATACGTAAATTTAATTTGAAAAAATAATATAGAAGTATTATAAGAACCTGGGAATAAAATCGGATATTGCCCACTTATGTAGACAATAACATATACGTATCAGCGTAACCAATAATTGAGGATAGGGTGTCCAGATTTCTGCAATTGCAGAAATTCTGCAGATTCTGCGGTATATTGCCAAATTTGTTAGATAATGTATTTTTGTTGGTCAAATCAGCATTGATCAATCTTTAACGAAATTTAGCAAAATTTAAAAAAACCGTAATTATAAACGTTTTGCCTGAGACAAGGTAGAGAGAACAGGATAAATACTTTAGTTTCATGTTATACAAGTATTATGAAGATGTAATATTTAAATTCAGAGATTGAAGCAATGTTCATGACAGGAATAGAATGAGAGAAGGTAAAGTTAATTTATTTAAGCAGATATATATTACTTATAGGATTTCATTACAAACTATACATTAATTTTTCAATATTTGTAGTATTGTATAAGTTTTACAAATTGTTTTAATTTTTAATAGATACTACTTAATATAATTATTTGTTTAATCTGATTAGATTCAATATCCAAAATTATTAAAACGAATTTCAAAACAGAGTATTAGAATAAAGTTATGCCAAATCAGCATAGCAGAAGTTTGTTTTGATTGGCTGTTATTAGGATAAATATGATTGGCGACGATCTTTTTTTTATATAGT